ATGTCAAAAAATGTCCATAAAGACACATTTATTGATAGAGAGTACTAACTGATTACTTACCGCAGCAACAATTTCATCTGCAGTTTCTTTAAATTCCTTTGATGTGGTGTTTTTCATTTTTTCATTAAATGGTTTTCTCAGGGAAAGTTTTCCAGGGAAAACTTTGGCTGAAAGCAATAAAGCATCATCAGAAGAAACTCAAAATCTAATAAAATGATACTTTATCCTGTCATTAACTTGCTGACAGGAGGAAGATTTATCCCAGTGTCATACAGTATCTCTGTTAAATATGACGCTACAACTAGCAGATACTTAGCATTATGACAGGAACTGATAGCTAACATAAAATCTTCTCTGCTTGCCTGGCAAATACAAGGCAACAAGAATATAGTTCAGGATGTCACTGCTCCTGCCCGAAATTAATCCCAGACAAATAAAAAATGAAACAAAACATAATCTGCCTTTCCTACTTTTTTTTTTTTTTGCATGGAATAAGTAGACGAAATCGAAAATATTAATTAGTAAACAAGCTGTTTGTCAGATTTTATAATTTTGTCACTAAGCTAGGCTAACAGTTTACTAACCTTACCTACTGTTAATGCTGGGAAATGGTTAAGGGCATTTTCATATCTATAGTATGTTTACTCTGGTACAAATTGGTTAATACTTTTGTAAACTTGGAGATTTTTCCCTTGGTTTGGTTTGTTTTCACACAGAAAGAAATCCAAGTCCATGGGACATTTTATGACAAAGGAGAAAAAATCTTTGGTGTCATCTTGACACCAAAGATGTGAAAACACCTTAAGAGAGCTCTGTTTAGTTCAAACGGTGCTTATGGTTTTGAATCACCTATTCTTCACTAACACTAGGTAAGAATTGTAAGAAGTTGACAGCTGTTGTAGACAAACAAATAATTACCATTTTCACATCTCAGGGTGATATTATTGTAAAAATCACCAGGAAGACACTTGCATACAAATGTGTGGTTGGCACGGGCTTCACAGGTGCTTCCAACACCACATGGATTTGAATGACAGGGATCTGCAAAGTGGAAACAAAAGAAAAAATAATATAAGCCTTGGAAGCATTATGTAAATATTTGGAGTGTATACAGATAACATTATACTTTTTGTACAGGCTACTGGCCACATTACCCGGAGATGCTGAAGTAGGTGGAACCCCTGTTGCTGAACTAGATGGATCCGATGAAGTAGCTGGGGCGTCTGTTACTGCAGCTGTAGGACTGGTGAAGTAGCTGGGGCGTCTGTTACTGCAGCTGTAGGATCTGGTGAAGTAGCTGGGGCGTCTGTTACTGCAGCTGTAGATCTGGTGAAGTAGCTGGGGCGTCTGTTACTGCAGCTGTAGGATCTGGTGAAGTAGCTGGGGCGTCTGTTACTGCAGCTGTAGGATCTGGTGAAGTAGCTGGGGCGTCTGTTACTGCAGCTGTAGATCTGGTGAAGTAGCTGGGGCGTCTGTTACTGCAGCTGTAGGATCTGGTGAAGTAGCTGGGTGTCAGTTACTGCAGCTGTAGGATCTGGTGAAGTTGCTCGGGCGTCTGTTACTGCACCTGTATGATCTGGTGATGCAGCTGGGGCGTCTGTTACTGCAGCTGTAGGATCTGATGAAGTAGCTGGGGCGTCTGTTACTGCAGGTGTAGGATCAGGTGTAAATGCAATTATTAGTATATGATAACGTGTAAGTGTTTAGCTTCAGCTAATTCTCAAATTACATGTATCATTATAATGTATCATAGATAATGAGATAAGTGTTTATTGGGGGGTTTTTTGTTGTTGTATTTTAAACCTATTTGGTGAAGCTGCAAGGTGCAAGTTATAAGTATTATTATAAACAAAAGCATAATAAAAAAAATAACAACAACCAAAAATATGTGTATATTTTAAATGAAATTTTATGAAGTTTTAAATCATTAATTTGTTTTACATCCAGCATATTTCATGTACCCAAAGGTAAAGAAGTCCCTACCAACAAATATTTTCAGATTGCTCTTGCACAGTATATACTGATTGAATAAAACAAAGCGAAGTCAAACTGTTCACTGTAAAAAGTCTTTGATTGTATGTTTTGTTTTCTGAGAAGCTGCAACCACACAATAGCCAATCCACTGGTTTCACACGAACTTGTGACTGTCACACTGTCTACACTGTGCAACGACCCTGCCTTGACACATTAAGTGTTTCATGGAAAAAGATTTTAAAAGTCAGTTTATTGAAGTATTTGTAATTAAGTATCAAATTAAAAGAATGACTTTTTTTTGTATTTGTAAAATGTAAAAACTAATAAAAATTAAATAATAAAAATCAAAACTAATTTTGTAATGAAGAAAAGAAAGTAAAAAAAAGCCCCAGGATTGACACAGATTCTGCACTGACACCATACAATTTGCTTAATTTAGCTTTCACACATAAAAAGAAGTAACCTGGCTGCAGAGTGCATTGGTAAGGGAATTTAGTGTAGCAACAGGGTCATAAGATAAGGTTAGACTGTTGACAGAAAGCACTAGTCAAATACTTAGATCTGCTTGTGCGTGTGATAAATGGTTTCAAGGGAAAACCTGAAGCAGGTGTGAAAGTTATACCATC